CAGGCATGTGCCCTTGGCCGGAATCGAACCTGGAACCCTTCAGTCCCCAGGCTCACGCTCTATCCATTGAGTCAAACCAGCTAGGGCAAACACTTGATTTCTTAAAAGAAATACTTGTAGGCCTCCTTTTTTTTAAAAGGTCTGTATCTTTTTTTTTACTTTATTGATTAGGGTATTATATAGGGGTCCTTATTCCCCCCATTAGTCCCCCCACCCCCCAATCATGCCCTCACCCCCCTGGTGTCTGTGTCCATTGGATAGGCTTATATGCATGCATATAAGTCCTTTGGTTGATCTCTCCCCCTTATTTCTTTTTAGCCTTTACTGCATTTCTAATTCTTCAGTTTTTATTAGATAGTTTAAAGAGCAATCTCTTTTTTTTTTTTTTTTATACACACTGAGCATGTACATTAACTGAAGGAAAAGTAAGTTGGCTTTTTGCCAGGTGTACCGGTTAATAATGCGGATGTGTTATCAAAGAAAACACGATAATTTCAAGAGAAACATCCAAAGTGCTTTATTCAAAGTAATGTCCATCGCTAGCTACACATTTCCCCCATCTCTCAGGTAATTTGTGGATACTGTCCCAATAGAACTTTTCTTGTTTTGCGGCAAACCATTCAGAGACCCAATTTTCCACTTCTGCGTACGTTTTGAAGTGCTGCTCAGAAAGTGTGTGTACCATCGATGGGAACAAGTGGTTATCTGAAGGAGCAAGGTCTGGTGAATACAGCGGGTGGGTTAATACTTCCCAGGCAAGATCTTTTAACGTGTCTTTAAAGTTTTGAAGTGTGTGATGGTGCGTCATCATGAAGCAAAATTACTTTGCCATGTCTTCTCGCCTTTTCTGGTCGTTTCACGATCAAAGTGTGGTTTAAATTGATTATTTGTTGTCGGTAGCGATCAGTATTAACGGTTTCACCTGGTTTTAGAAGCTCATACCTTCCTGATCCCACCAAAAGCAGAGCATTGTCCTCTTTCTGAAGCGATTTGGCCTTGTAGTCGATGTTGATGGTTGACCTGGATCAACCCATGGTTTTGTGCATTTGGGATTCTCAAAATCACTTTTCATCGCCAGTCACAATTTGATGCAAAAAAGACTCTTTCCTGACAGTGAAGCAACATTTTACTGATGATTTTTCAGTTTTCCATTTGTCTTTTGTTCAGTTGATGTGGCACCCATTTTCCTTCCTTTAAAATCTTTCCCATTGCTTGTAAATGATCGGAAATTGTTTGCTGAGCAACGTTTAAACTTTCTGCAAGTTGTTTTTGAGTTTGACATGCATCTTCATCCAATAATGCTTGTAATTATTGGTCTTCAAACTTTTTTGGTTGACCTGGACGTTCTTTGTCTTTCACATCGAAATCACTTTTAAAGCGTTTAAACCAGCGTTCACAAGTATCTTGAGATGGAGCATGTTCACCATAAGCTTCCCGAAGTATATGATAACTTTTTCTTCAAAATAAAGTAATGAATTAAAACTTCCCGCAAATGCTCTTTTTTTGGCACGAAATTCGACATTTTTAAGCGTAAAAATATCTATGATGTTAACACCTTCAGCAAATTTGACATATGAAGTTTTGAAGCTTGCTGTCAATACAACAAAATAGCATACATATCAAATCACATATATATCAACATATGTGTAACCCCATCTATTGAAAAAAGTCTGCATTATTAACTGGTACATCTGGTAGACAGACACACTCCCCCACCTTTTTATTAAAGGTTCAGTTCATTAATTTTTAGCCTTCATGGCATTTCTCATTTTTTTTATTATTGAACAGGTTAAAGAGTTGTTGACTTATTTTTACACTAGAGGCCCAGTGCATGGATTCGTGCACTGGTGGGGTCCCTTGACATAACCTGCAGGGATCAGGTTGAAACCAGCAGTCCAACACTGCCTGCTGCTCCTGCCTGCCGCTCTTGCTCATCCTGGCTTCACTGCATCTCCCGCCGCCACTGCCGCTCTGCTGTGGTCTTTGGGCTGCGGCGGCAGCCAGCTGTGAGCTCTGTGTCTGGTGCCCGTCTGTCAGCTGATTGGCACTCCCACTGTGGGAACACACTGACCACCAGGGGGCAGCTCCTGTGGTGAGTGTCTGCCCCCTGGTGGTCAGTGTGCATCATAGCGACTGGTCATTTGTTCGCTTAGGCTTTTATATATATAGATGTACAAAGTGACATGCACATTAATGGTGAAGGAATAATAATTTGGCCTTTTAGGACCCAGGTGTTTTTTTGTTTCTGAACTAAATATAAGTTTGAAAAATAGAAAGATTTGAATAGTGGTTGGGGTCTACAGATAGAAGTAGTAATAGATTTGCCTCCAAATCAGTTAAATTACTTGACTGCTAGTGGGTGGGTGGTTTTGTGTGTAATGAAAACACTGAAATTAGAGCCAGGAGCTATGGGTTTTGCCTCTGGCTTTGACAGTCACTAGTTCTATGGCTTTGGGCAGGTCATCTAAATCCTTGGGCTGCTTTTAAAACAGCCCAACTGCCAACCTGGTGTGGCTCAGTGGTTGAGTGTCAACCCATGAACCAGCAAGTCAGGTTTCGATTCCCAGTCAGAGCACATGCCCAGGTTGTGGGCTTGATCCCCAGTAGAGGTTGTGCAGGAGGCAGCCGATCAATGATTCTCTCACATCATTGATGTTTCTCTCCCCTCCCTTCCTCTTTGAAATCAATAAAAATATGTACTAACTAGGCCTGGCCAGCATTGCTCAGTGGTTAAGCGTCCACCTATGAACCAAGAGGTCCCTGGTTTGATCCCCAGTCGGGGTTTCAGGCTTGGTCCCCAGTAGGGGGCATGTGGGAGGCAGCCAATCAATTTCTCTCTCTCTCATCTATGTTTCTATCTCTATCCCTCTCCCTTCTTCCCTCTCTAAAATCAATAAAGACATATATATTTTTTAAAGTACTAAGTAGGATCAGAGAATTTTCAGAGTTGAATGAGTCTCAGAAAGTATTCAGGGAAATCCCCTTCATTTTCCTAAAGAGACTAAGTCATGGTTAATGAAATCCATTATCACTAAGCAAGGACTTATTGCTTCTTCTCATTATGGTAATAAGTGCTTTTAATTTTTTCATGCTGATTTAAATTAATATTTTTTATTTCATGTACTGACTGGTGTTATTTATTGGAGTAACAGTTATAAAGTTTTCATTTGGATTAACATAAAAAGTTAGTTATCACAAGCATGTTCATTTAATGAATAACTGTTGAGCCAGATTTTATGGTATTTGGTGTATGAAAGGGTGACTCTCAAAATACCTAATTTTAAGAGGATTACCCCCTCATTAGAATGTGGTCTAGTAACTTAGTATTAAAATCTTCCTCTTGGCCACTTAGGCTGTACACCACAGTGATTGAGAGCATTGGATTCTAGAACCAGATTTCCTGTGTTTGAATCCCAGCCCTGCCATGTACTGGTAATGTGCCCTGTACATGTTAATTAACTTCTATATACTCTGATTCCTCATTTGTAAAATGGGAATAATTATAGTGCCTATGGGTTACTGGGAGATTAAGTAAACTAATACATATAAAGTGCTTAAGAGAGTGGCACAAAATAAGTGATACATATTTTAACTAATACTATTGTTAGGCCATGATTGCTTCCATTTAACTTGTCAGCCGAAGTAAGAAGATAGTGTGTTACATATTTCATGTATATTTCTTTTTTAAAAACAATTTGATATAATTCCATTTTAGTGAGTTTTTAAAAAATATGTTATTGATTTCAGAGAGGAAGGGTGAGGGATAGAGAGATAGAAACATCAATGATGAGAGAGAACCATTGATTGGCTGCCTCCTACAAGTCCCACACTGAGGATCAGGCCTGCAACCTGGACATGTGCCCTGAATGGGAATCGAACTGTGACCTCTTAATTCATAGGTGGACATTCAACCACTGAGCCATGCCAGCTGGGTGCTTTTTTTTTTTTCCAGACAAGAGCTCTTGCTCATTTTATTCAGTGATTTATATTCAGGAAATGTCAATATAATCTGCTTTAGGTAGAAACAACACAGACAAAAAAGAAATAAAATATCATTGTATGCCTGTTACTGAGTGTTCTCATATGTTGTTTTTATTATGATGCTCTGCAGTATTTTACAGTATTAAATTATATTACTTAATTTCATATAATTACAATTTTTAAATTCTCAGATTTTTTTAAAGCTGGAAGGAAAGTAGTAAATCATCAAGACTAAATGCTTCACTTTATAAACAAGGGAATTGAGGTTCCAACAAGTGAAATGACTTACCCAAAGTCACCGAGACTAGAGCTGGCAACCTCTCAAGTCGTTCTTTCTTTCTTCCTTGATGCCTGCTGTTCCACTTTCAACTTGTACTGTCATTTATCAAGCTTTCTCTAAAATACTATCTATTACAGAACATCTAGCTGGATAAGATGTTGAGTGTTTTTTGTTTGTTTTTCCAAAAGAAGGCTTTGATTAGTAATATTTCACTCCTTTAGGAAACACGTGTAATACTGTCCCTATTTATTTCAGTTCAGTCAAATGTCCCTGGATGAATTCTTAGGTATATACTCAAGGGAGCAGGTTAAAAACACACACACACACACACACACACACACACACACACAAAAGAGGTATTATTTGCCTTGTCCAACTAAGAAAGGAAATTTCATGGCAGATTTTATTAATCAGAGTGATCAAACAGTTAAATTGCAGCCTATATTTTGTTCCTAGAGAATTTGAATAATCAATTCCACCAGTCTGCTATGCATATGAGGATATGTAAATATTTTAGATGTGCACTTACAGAACCTATGGCATATACCCTGATACCGTGGTTATATATTTCCACTTTACCTGCTTTTAATCAATATTCATTTATGGTCTTTTTCTAGATTATGGTTGATTAAAAGTGCTAGACCATATAAATACAAGTATGACCATATGTTGCTTTTAAAAATAAACGATCGCCAAGTAACGTGGTCTAAGTAAAATGTTCTCTTTTTTAATTATGTAGTCCTCCTCGCCATCCTCATCACAGCCTCATTGTAGCCACTGCAGAATGAAGGCCTCATCATTGTGTCACCATGCATCCCTGCCCTGGGTCAAACGTAACCATGTAGACCCTGCAAAGGCTACCAGTCCATCTCTCCGTCTTCGTCGCTGGCGACCCTTCTTACGCCTACCATCTTTGGGTCTCCATTCTGTTGTAAGTGTAGTCAATCTTCCATCTCTTCTTCCAGTGACAAGGGCAGTCCATTTTTTCCCTTAAACTTCTTCAGTCTTCAAAATGCTTTTCTCTTGGTTCACTCAACCATTAGTTTTCTCTCCCAGTAAGATTGCAAGCATACCTCCATGCTTTGCAGTCTAGCTTGACTTTCACCAATGCCTTGGTGAAATCCATCTTTCCACTTCATATCCTACCAGTGCAAAAATGCCTCCCTTTTGATGAGTGTTAATTAACATTCATGATAATGTTTACGTTCCTGTCATTCATTAAAGTGAATATGTATTCTTTTACCCTTCATCTTTCTGATTTCATTTAGTTGACTCAGGTCAACAAATGCTGTGTACCTTCTGAGTTCTATACCATTTCTTACTTTTTTTTTTTTCATGTTTCTGAACATGACTTTAGGCTCTTGTCATGCTCTGGGGTGCTTTACTTACTCTATCCTTAATCTAATACTTCATGGTGGAGGGTGTTTCATCTAAGCTATTTTTTCTTGAGGTGGCTCAGGTACTTGGTTTAATCTTGATCCAATCTTCCCTGCCTATTCAGTTTAAAGAACATCTTTCCAAGTAAGAGGCGAAGGTTTTTTCCTTGTGAATTGATGTAGGCTTCCCACAAATTTTAGGATTTCTCCTTCTTGAGTAGATAATATTAGCAAACTATTTTAAAGTGTGTATATATGTTCTTATATCTTGCTAATTTTCTTAAATGTTGAGGTTGATGATGGAATTCTAATTATTTTCATAATTGAAATGAACTGCAGGTTTCAGCAACTACAGCTCTTGTCTTTCTGATGTTTTAGACTATTAATGGCAATGACTTTGGATTGGTTGAGCCTACCTAGAAATGTTATATCTGAGAGATTTGGTATATGCCATAAATTTATAAAAAACTTGACACTTCTATAAATCATCATGACTTTCGAAGCCAAAGGAAGTCTGATTACACATAATGTTTAATGCTTAAAAAAAAATTGGTGTCAAACATTCTTTCCTCCCTTTACTTACTCTTCTAGAGCTATATTCAAATTCTGAAGTGGAGTCGTGGCACTTTTCCTTAAACATCTGCTTCCTCCAAATAGCAGTATGGTCATCAAAAGAGCCTTTGATTTTTGCTGAGTATCAACAAAACTGGTGTCTCTGTGTTTCATTATCTTCATTGGGTCACAGTGTGTATTTGTCATTTTTATTCATTTATCATATTTGTTGTTTCCCTACTGTGCCAATTTGTACAGTAGGAGATATAAGGTGAATTAAATGATCAGAGTAAAACCCTAATTTTGTAAAGTCTGTCTTAGGCATAATTGATTCTAAATATGAATAAATTCCTTTGTACTTAAAATTATTCTAAATATAAATGAGCATATCATAAAATTTGTTTTTCCAGATTTATGTGTTTTTATATAATTTTGATCTTTGTTCAATATTAATTCCATTGCTTTATATCTTCATAAATATTTTCATAGCCTAGTGGTTAAGCACACAGATTCTAGAATGACACTGCCTGGATTTGTGATCTAGAACATGTTACTTAATGCTTCCATGCCTCAGTTTTCTTGAGAGTAAAATGGGTATAATTATATTACCCACCTTGCAGGGTTTAAATGATAATTAATTGGTCAGTACATTTAAGACTTAGAACAGTGCCTAATATATATTAAGTACCATACAATTATTAATTAAATTTCAACCGTACCTTTTTATAATTTGAAATATCTGTTTAGTATTTACTTTCTATCTAATTAATTTGTTATATTACTTTTTAATTATTTGAGATAAGTATTTTATTCTAAATTAGGGAACTTTATAAAAAATAATATATATAAATGTAGGCAAAAATGATCCAAATCTATAGCTTCTGTTTTTTGCCCTTTGTTTATTATATGTTGGTCATTTTTTTTTTAATGAAAAACTTATTGGAATTTGCTTTTTATTCTTGTTTTGGGGTGGAATCATTTTTAAGCAATGAATAATTGCACTTTTCAGATTACACGTAGACAAAAGGAAAAGGCTCATAGCAAGTACTGACACACAATTTTGAGTCACTAGATTTAGTGATTTCTTATATTTTGTGATAATGCAGTATTAATATTGTAAAAAATACAGAATGTTTAGTATCACTTAACAATTTACAAAGTAATACATTTCATTTAAACCTCAAAACAGATAACAAAATCAGTGTTTACAGGGATTGAGTATATATGTTCATATCTCTGACTCCAATTATACTACTTTTATCTCTAGCACAATTGTATTTACTGGTAAGATAAGAAAAATGGAAGCTATAAGATGCAATATGCTTAGAAGAAATGGTGTTAAAATAATTTAAAATTTTTGAAAACATAGATCAAAAGACTTAAAATACTTGATATCCTGTTGGAGAATCGTATCTTAAAATGAGAAAACCAGACCTTTTCCTAGTTGGATAAACAATTCTTTCTGGCATTTTTTATAAAATTGAACTTATCATTTGTAGAATTGCCTAGGTTTAGCCTTGAAAATTTGAATTCTCTTTTGGTCATTGGTATTAGATTGAGCAATCAGTAATACATTTGATTCTCTGACCAGGAAAGTAAGGGAACTCATGGCCACCATCTTTAATTATTTGAAGAAACATCATGCTCAGGAGCTATTAGACTTTTTATAAGATGCTGGAAAACACTGGGAAACATATTTTAGCTTCAGTATGAGGGTCAAAGATGGAATGGATTGCTTCAAAGTCTAGTGACAGTTCCCTGTTGTTGGAGGGTCTACCAGAAGTACGGGCTGTGGTAGAGAGGAGATTAACAACAGTAACCTAGGTGACTTTGATTGCTACCAACTTTGGAATTCTTTACTTCTATGTTGAAGTTAGGAAGAGCTAGTTTGCCACATCAATTTCTGTTGCTGTTCTCTCATTCATAAACTTGAAGAAAATAATTTCTGAAGAATAATGTGAGATTACATGAGTCACTCTATCTGTAAATGTTTTAAGAGCATTCAGTAAATCCAAGATAATGTTTCTTCTGTATCTTTCAATTTCTGCATCTGAAAACTTCATATTACAACTACTTAAAATTATATAATTACTAACGAGTAAAGAAAAATACACATTTTAGAGTTAAGCTACTATTGTGTTACAGGATGTTAGATAATATGAGAAGTAATTTGATTTATGCCTCGTGAAAACTTTATCTCTAAAATGCGTACATGCATTTAAAACTGATGGTACTTCATTTCACACCATTTAGATTTGATAAATAGCTAACACATATTTGTGTTAATTGTGTAGTTACTGCGTATTAAAGACAGTGTGAGTGAATCATGTATTGACTTTGCATAAGTTACTTGAATGTTTAACAAATGTAGCAGATATTGCTCATGAAAATTGAATTTGGTAAGCCAAAATAGTTTTAATTTCAAAGCGTTTACTAAGAAAGCAAGAGAAAAATTATAGGCTACAGTTAGTTGTATTTTAATTTGCTCTTATCCTTATTTTCCCCCTTTAACCTTTTGGGTTATTTTCCTGCGTCTATTCATTTAGAAACCTTTTGAGTGTAGGATGAGTAAAGGTACTTATTTTACTCTAAAACTCTTTATGTTCTATTTTTTAAAAAAGTAATATGATCAAGGGTCAAGTTATTAAGGGGAGAACTTACTTTCTTGAAGTCTTAAAACTTAAAGAGAGTTTTTAAAACTCTGTTTATGCTATTAAAATGTAAAAGATTTTCTTTTTCAAATTTCAGAAATTAGACAAATCACTTTATGCATTCATTTCATTCAGAAAGTGTACATTGCACATTTACTATATACCAGGCATTGTGTGAAGTGCTGGGCTTTTGAAGGTGAACAAAGCTTTAGGGTATTTAGATTGTTGAGATTAAGAAAAATGTGCTTGTAGTTGACATTTTTCTTGTTGATGGGTGAGCACGTTGTTATAAACGTAAACATATTTACTCATTGTCCACTATATCAAAGGTTAAGCCTTTAATTAATTTGGATAAATGTTCTCTGATGTGATTTGATACTTGTATGTGTTTACACATACTTGCTTGATTTGTTTGACTATAAACATATGTAATATGTATGTTTCCTCCTATTGCAGGCACCAAATATAGATGAAAAAGTAGATCTTCATTTTATTGCATTAGTTCACGTAGATGGGCATCTCTATGAATTAGGTAAGAACTTTAAAAATTTACTCTGGGGAGAGAAATTGGAAATGAAAAAGTCTGTATTTATGATAAACAGGATTGCTGATATTTATTATTTACTTAAATTAATTGCCTTATAGCATTGAATTGGCATAATGAAAGTTTTTCATTTAAGACTTTTTACTAGAAAAAATCAAATTTTTCTTTGATGTTCAAGTAACTTACAATTCAAGAATGTTTGCATACCACCTTTACATTTTACAAAGCAGTAAAGTAAAAGTCATTATAGGAAACTCCTGTAAATCACTCCCAGCACTTTTTACTAAATTATTGAGATAGATATCATCAACATCTGCATGAGCCATTTTGATCCTGAAACTAGTTTTAAGACATAGTGTAATATTCGTGTCTAGTTTTTATATTTGGTAAAGAGTATTACTAGTTTTCAGGCTTTTGTACTATCCCTTTGTATTACATCTTACTTTTTTAAAAAATGTGTTTTTATTGATTTCAGAGAGGCAGGGAGAGGGAGAGACAGATAGAAACATCAATGATGAAAGAGAATCATTGATCGGCTGCTTCCTGCACACCCCCAACCAGGGATTGAGCCCACAACCTGGGCATGTGCCCTGACTGGGAATCTAACCATGACCTCCTGGTTCACTGAGCCACACTGGCTGGGCTACATCTGACTTTTTAAAAGACTTTACAGGAGCCTGTTTTTTGGCAACAACTTTCTAAGGCATATGGCAAACTACACATGATTAATTACTTAGTATTTTGGCACTTAGTTTTTAAAAAGTTTAACTATAGGTAGATTATTTCAGGGACTATTTGGAGGAAATCTTCATAATTTTAATTGTTTTATTTAGATAGAGAACTTCTTATGACTCCTTCATAATTGATCTATAGTACTTTAGTACTTATGAGTCCTTCTTGTTCTTCTCCATGAGACCTTCTTGTGTTAAAAAAAGAGGGGGGGTAAATAAAGAAACAAAAAAGTAAAGTACTTTTCAATATTAACTTGCCACTTTTAATTTTCTTAACTTATTTAAAGACAGAGTTTTTAAAATTTTTATTACAGTTTGCATTCAACACTTTTCTTGTACTAGTTTCAGGTGTACAGCATAGCTGATAGACATTCATGTAAGTTAAGGACAAAGAGTTTTGAAAGAACTCATTACAACTGCAAATGAGGTCCATAAAATTTAGATGGATTTTGTGTTTGAAATATGCTAACAAAATTATATAATTTATTAAAAAGAAAGTGCTCTATTAAAGGGGAAAATGAAAGGAAATAACATATTTGTAAAAATTGATGGTGGCCTTCTATAGTCAAATGATTTCAGTAGGAATCAAACTAAAATGAAAAGAAATTGTTATGGGAGTATATAACAGACCTCAGAGCTTCACTTATTTATTCCATATATATTTGCTAAGTCAGTCTATAAAATTTATATAGAGATAAAGTATAATAGTGATTGGGGATTTCAGTTGTGTGACTGATTGCTGGAAACTTTATTTCCACTCTGAATAATAAAGAATAACTAGTAGAAATGGAAATAAAGAGAGTGCTGAGACTTTACCAGACACATTCTGTTGACTTCAAGGAAGTAGATTTAGAAAAGGCCAGAGAAATGATACATATTATCCATAACCAGGGACTAAAAAGTAATGGTGACTTTCAGGATGAAACACTTAGTAATAAAATAAACAATAACATTGAAAAGATACTTAGAAAAAATAAATCTATGATCAATGGGAAGCAAAGAGTTGTCTAAAAAACTCAATTTGACTAGTTAGCTAGCAGTAGAAAGAAACATATATCAAAGGTAAACTACATATGAAGAATGTCCTATTTTGTAGCATGCCAAGATCAACACAAAAGTATTTTAAAATTGGTTTGAAGTAAGAATATCAGAAAAGAAAGGCAGAACTACTGAGATCTTGTTTGTTTCAGGTGTTCTTAGCAAGAATGATCAGTACGGCTGATGGAGAATTAGAGCCCTTTGGAGATAGCAATCTTTAAAGGAGTTTAAAGAACTTCAGTTCTAAACAATAGTCATAATCTTTGATATATCAGAGCAAGGGGATACTTATAAGACAAATGTGGATGGACAGTTGCAAGGGAAATTGACAGTAACCCTGATATAAATTCCTAATAAATTCAAAAGGAATCTTGAGCAAGAGGAGAATTGAGTTATTCAATAAAAAATTGTAGATGAGCCCTAACCAGTTTGGCTCAGTGGATAGAGCGTCAGCCTGCGGACTGAAGGGTCCCGGGTTCGATTCCGGTCAAGGGCATGTACCTTGGTTGTGTGCACATCCCTAGTGTGGGGTGTACAGGGGGCAGCTGATCGATGTTTCTCTCTCATCGATGTTTCTAACTCTCTATCCTTCTCCCTTCCTCTCTGTAAAAAATCAATAAAATATCTGGAAAAAAAAATTGTAGATGACATGATACTATAAAGAACCCCAAAGATTCCACCAAAAAACTATTAGAACTGATAAATTAATTTAGTAAAGTGCAGGATGCAAAGTTAATATTCAGAAAGCGATTGCATTTTTATACACCATTAATGAACTATCAGAAAGAGAAATTAAGACAACAATTCACTTTACAATTTCATCAAAAAGAATTCAATACCTAGGAATAAATAATAACCAAGGAGGAAAAAGGTCTGTACTTGGAAAATTATAAAACATTGAAGAAGATACAAATAAATGGAAGCATATATTGCACTCATATATAGAAAGAACTAACATTCTTAAAATGTCCATACTACCAAAAGCAGTCTATAGACTCACTGCAATCCTTATCAAAATACCAATGGCATTTTTCAAGAACTGGCATGAAAACAGATGCATACATCAATAGAACAGAATAGAGAGTCCAGAAATAAACCCACACCTATGTCAATTTATGACAGAGGAGGCAAAAATATATAATGGGGTAAAGATAGTCTCTTCAATAAATGGTGTTAGGAAAACTGGACAGATACATGCAAAAAAATGAAACTAGATCACTTTCTTAACACCATACACAAGAATAAACTCAAAATGGATTAAAGACTTAAATGTAAGACTCATAAAACTCCCAGAAGAAAAGATAGGCAGTAAACTCTTTGACATTGCTCTTAGTAATATTATTTTGGGTATATCTCATCAGGCAAGGGAAACAAAACAAAAAACACACAAATGGGACTACATCAAACTAAAAAGGTTTTTGCACAGAAAAGGAAACGATCAACAAAATGAAAAGACAGCCTACCAAATGGAAGATATTCGCCAGTGGTACATCCAATAAGGGGTTAATATCCAAGATATGAAGAACTCATACAACTCAACACAAAAAAAACCCACAAACACTCCAATTAAAAAATGGGCAGAGGACCTGAACAGACACTTCTTCAAAGAGGACATACAGATGGTCAGTAGACATATGAAAAGATGCTCAAAGTCACTAATCGTGAGAGAAATGCAAATTAAAACCACATAAGTTATCACCTCACACCTATCAGAATAGCTATCAAGCCCTGGCCAGTTTGGCTCAGTGGATAGAGTGTCAGCCTGTGGACTGAAGGGTCCCAGGTTCGATTCCGATTGGGGGCACATGCCCAGGTTGTGGGCTCAATCCCCAGTCGGGGGCGTGCAGGAGGCAGCCGATCAATGATTCTCTCTCATCATTGATGTTTCTATCTCTCTCTCCCTCTTCCTTTTTCTCTGAAATCAATAAAAATCTATTTTAAAAAATAAAATTAAAAAATTTTTAAAAAGAATAACTATCAATAAATCAACAAACAAGTGTTAGTGAGAATGAGGAGAAAAGGGAACTCTCATATACTGTTGGTGGAATACTATAGAATACAGTATGGAGGTTCCTCAAAAAATTAAAAATAGAACTACAATATGACCCCACAATCCACTTCTGGGTATTTATCCTATTAAATCCAAAATACTAATATGAAAAGTATATGCTTCTTTATGTTCATTGCAGCATTATTTACAATAGCCAAGATATGGAAGCAACCTCAGTGTCCATCAGCAGACAATTAGATAAAGAAGATGTGGTACATATATACAATGAGATATTACTTGGCCATAAAAAAGAATGAAATCTTACCATTTGCACTAACATGGATTGACCTAGAGTGTATTATGCTAAGTTAAATAAGTCAGAAAGACAAATACCATGTGATTTCACTTATATGTGGAATATAAAAAAAAACAATAAATGGAACAACAAATCAGAAACAGATTCGTACTTACAGAGAACAAATTGATAGTTGCCAGATGGGAAGGGCATTGGGGGCTGTGTGAAAAAGGTGAATGGATTAAGAAGTACCAATTGGCAGTTACAAAATAGTAACAGGAATATAAAGTACAGCATCTATATAATAAAAGCCTAAGCGACGGTTCTGGCAGAACAACCAGAACGACCAGTTGCTATGATGCGCACTGACTACCAGGGGGCAGACGCTTAACGCCGGAGCTGCCCCCTGGTGGTCAGTGCACTCCCACAGGGGAAGTGCTGCTCAGCCAGAAGCCAGGCTCATGGCTGGTGAGCGCAGCAGCAGTGGCAGGAGCCTCTCCCACCTGTGTGGCAGTGCTAAGGAGCAGCGAGCCGGCAGGTGGTAAGGAGCAAGGGGTCCCAGATTGCGAGAAGGATGTCCGACTGCTGGCCTAGGCCCATGGGAAGCGGGCCTAAGCCGGAAGTCAGACATCCCCCAGGGCTCCCAGACTGCGAAAGAGTGAGGGCTGGGCTGAGGGGAACCCCCCCGAGTGCATGAATTTCGTGCACTGGGCCTCTAGTAAGAAATATAACCAATAATATTATAATAACTGTGTATGGTGCCAGGTGGGTATTGGAAATAGCAGCAGCAGTACTGTAAAGTATATGATTGTCTAACCACTGTACTATACTCCTGAAATTAATATAATATTGAATGTCAACTGTAATTGAAAAAACATTTTTTTTCAAAAAGATTAAAGGAAATCAAAAAGAAAATGGTAATTAAGAGAACACATATAGTTTTTAAGAAAAAAATAATTTTTAAGTAACCATATTTTTTTGTTTGGTTAATTTTTGCTTATATTTTTTCTTTAAATGTGGTATCTATTAGTCCAAGTCTATTACTACATATACATATTGACTAAAAATTTTTATTATATTTAGAAACCATAGTGTTATAGAAGGGATTGTGTTTTATGAATTGTACTTGAAGTGCCACTTATAAGACATCTGAGATGATAAATTTTGATGCACAGGATGGGGCAAAAGTAAATTTACAGTTGTAAGTGCAAAACACAGAGTTTGTTCTTGTATTATTATTTATTAATTATTGTAATATTTTCCATTTGAACATTTGTAAACCTACTTTGTGTAGAGTTATCAGTTACCTTTGGGTAACATGAGTTTATATAATTCTAGACTTTTTCATAGTATTGAAAAATTACTAGTTTATTCAAGTGACTATAGTTGCAGTTAGTTATTTTTGCTGGTCAGTAAAGTAATCCTAGTTTATTTAGATTATTATTCTATACTACTACCTTGGAGGTACACAATTAGTAGTAATATATAAAACTTGGGATGGCTCCCTTTTGTTGATGTAAACATGTCAGTCTTAGAAGCCTTCTGATTTAACTCTTAAAGTGAAGAAATAATTTTTTTTTCATATTTCTGAGGGTAAAAACAGATCCTAACTTAAAAAACTGACTTATTTTTCATATTCTTTTTAGGAAATTAAATCAAGCCAATATGTATTTATAATAAATTCTGTTTATGAAGATAATTTAGGTTTTCAAACATGGAAGCAAGGTTCTAATAACTTTACTTTTAATCTAATAACTTTTAATGTTAAAGAATATTCACAGGTAGTACATTTAAAATATTTGTTTTAGGACATATTATTTTAAATAATCATTTAACTTTTGCCTCACTCTGAAAGGAGGAAAGTGGAAGGTGAAAGTACATTATCTTGTACAAACAGCTAAACATTCAACTGTTTGTCTATTTTTTATAGATGGACGGAAACCATTTCCAATTAACCATGGTGAAACTAGTGATGAAACGTTATTAGAGGTAAGAGTAAAACTTGGCCCACTTTAAGTGTTATTAATGTTCTGGTTATCTTTGAAACATCTCTAAAACTCACTTGTATAACATTTTATCTATATTTGGATACTTCCTTGTCCTTGCTCTCTTGAAAAAATCCAAAAAGAAAAATTTGAACTAGTGTTAACCTATAGCAAATAAAGAAGTTTTCAGAGCTCTTTGTGTGAACAAGTACCAAATTTGAAAAAGGCAAGAATAGTTTTGCTCTGGCTGAGTGGCTCATTTGGTTGGAGTGTCGTTCCATACACCAAAAGGTTGCAGGTTTGATTCCCAGTCAGGGCACATACCTAGGTTGGGGGTTCTATCCCCATTTGGGGGCATATGGGAGGCAACCAATCGATGTTTCTCTCTCTCCCTTCCTCTCTCTAAAAATTAATAAAAATATTTCCTTGGGAGAGGATTTAAAAAAGAAGAAAAAGGCAAGAATAGTTTTGAAAGAGTTGCACATTGTATCCCATATTTCATTAGATTCATGATATCATCATTTGTATCTTGATCTTGATTTTAGAGATTTTTAAATTTATGAACAAATTGTGTGGCTTAGAATCAATGAAATGTAATTGTCAAGTTAAAAGTTTCTTAAAAGGATTTTAAAAAAGAATACTTACTGTATCTTATACTTTTGGACTAAGCTAATTAGAACGAAATGTTCGTTCTTCTGGTATGCTTTTAGTTATTCTTCATTTGGAAAAACAAGTGTGCAGTGTAACATTAGTACAAACTAGGAAAGTATGAAACACATGATTTGCAAGTAAAACACATGTTTATAAACTGAAAATTTATATTTTCCCCCTATAGGATGCCATAGAAGTTTGCAAGAAGTTTATGGAACGTGACCCTGATGAATTGAGATTCAATGCAATTGCTCTTTCTGCAGCATAGTTTGTCAATAATGGAAACACCAAGTACTGTATTATTTGCAACAAAAATTTCATTTCTGCTGCCATACACTATCTCAAAAATTTTGATATTTTCATTAACTTGACTGATTAAACTTTATGTGAATTAAACTTTGACTTAATCTGTGTTTTATATACTTTGTCCTGAATTAAAGCTGCATTTCTTTTCTTCCCTTTCTTTCCTGTGAAGGATTTAGCTTGGTTGATGACTAGAAATAACCTTCTTATTCTCTAAAGGTTTATGGTAAGTTTTGTATTGGGACACAGACACAGTTTCCATCTGCATAGTGTGTATATACAGTGTCCCAAAAACATGTATGCACACTTTTAACAGCTGATAACTCAATTGATGTTTCTTTCTTTTCAGCCAGACTAAGCTTTGAACAAAGGAAATTCATCCTAAATGCTATTGGAAGTTTGAAAATGCGGTTGAAGTACAAACACTGCCTTTATACTAATTCAGTGTATATATATTTTGTATACACCCTGTGTTCCCAAAAATGTATACATACTTTAACAGCTAATAACTCACTTCATATTCACTCCTTTTCAGGTTTAACTGATTGAAATATGGGTGAAGCTTTGAACAAAGAAAATTTACCCAGTAGGCTTTTTTATGGGTATATATAAAAGGTAAAGTTTACTGTACAAAACTGGGAACAGTCACCAAATGGAGGGGACACAAATACCGAATGAAATGATTCTTGATGTTTGTGATTTCACATTATCAACAGTGCCTGGACCAGAACGGTTATCAGTTTGAAAACAGGCACTGACAAAAAAAATTACTAATTTCTGTAGGTTCTTTTAAATTTTGAAAATGAACTGTATGTTAATAAACACTGACTATAATCATTCAAAGTGTGTATACACCTGTTGGGGACACCCTCTGTATATCACGTGGTAACATTTATTTAGCAAACATTTGTTGAGCATCTAATTGCAATGAGCTGGACAGCGTTCTAGGTGCTGGAGTTACACCTGTGAGCACTGTTGACAAGTTCCATCGTCATGGGGCTTATGTTTTTTGTGAGAAGAGACAAATGAAACACATTAATATGATACATGCCACCAATAGATGCTATGCAGAAAATTAAAGTCGGATTTGTGTTAGACAGTCTGAGTGTCTAGATTTTGTGGTCAGGGAAGGCTTCTGTAAAGAGGTAACTTCGAAGTTGAGCTCTGAATAGCAAAAGTAGCCACTAATAGAAAGGTGGTGGGGAAGAGAAGAGGTATTAATGCAGATCCCTAAAGTGGGAATATGTCACTGTGTTGTAAGACTAGAAAGAAGATTCATGTGATCAGAATACAGGAAGTAATGGAGAAAAAGGAGGGGCTTAATGATACAGAAATACAGGAAAAGGCATTGGATTTATTACAGCTGTGATGGTAAACCCTTGGAGGGTTTTAAGCAAGAGAGTGACCTGATTTGATGTATATTTTTAGGAGGTCACTGAATATTCTGTGGATAATATTTTGGGGTGGAGTAAGAATAGAGGTAGAGCGGAGCCCACTGCATTTGTTCAGTTAGAGATGATGGCCAAGTCATGAAAGTGCAGTAGTTTCCCTTATCTGAGGTCTTGCTTTCCACGGTTTCAGTTAGCCATGGTCAAACAGTCTAAAAATATTAAATGGAAAATTCCAGAAATAATTCATAAGTTTTAAATTGTGCACCATTATGAGTAGCATGATGAAAACTCACACTGCCCTTCTCTGTCCTGCCTGGGCCGTGAATCATCCCTTTTTGTGCATCATATCCACGCTGTTTGCACTTTGCCTATTAGCCACTTAGCCTTCTCAGCAGTTCCACCATCATGGTATCTCAGTGCTTGTATTCAAAGGGTAAGAGAAGTGATGCTGGTAATTCAGATATGCCAAAGAGAACCCATAAAGTGCTTCCTATAGGTGAAAAGATATGTATGTAGAGGAAAAACGTATTTGCTGTCATCCACAATTTCAGGTATCGACTGGGGTCTTGGAACATATGCTCCATGGATGAGGGGGAAATGTTATAGTAATAATTTAGATAGAGGTCTATGAGTGGATTTGGGGCGTGTTTTGAGGAAGGAAGGGTTTCAGTTGAGTCTGAAAGGATAGGTGGGAGGCAGTGGGAAGGTGGCAGGGTTATTTACAGAGCTGGGTCAAAACAGGGTTGTGTGATGGCAGTGTCCTTCCTATAACATTTTGGGGGAGAGTATTGGTTACACAGGTGTATACATGTATGGAAACTCAATGAATTAATTGTTCATTTAAAATCTGTACTTCACTGTATATTCATTTTACCTTAAAAATTTTTTTAAAAAGAGCTGAATTGGGTTGGCTGGAATCAGTATAACTTTTAGGAGAAAGACTAAATTGGTCCAGAATGAAGCTCTTGATAAAATTGAGTGTAAATGTTTATATAGGATCCACTAAGTTAATGTAGATTCCTGAGACAGTATCATGAGGTAAGTGGTATTTTAGGAAAAGTAATAGGGCCATGGCTTGCAGAATGGATTAGATCTTTGTTATTATTCTAAGTATGGTTGCATCAATATTACCTGGAAACTTGTTAGAAATTAAGAATTCCAGACCCCACCTTAGACCTACTAAATCAGTAAGATCTTACTGCATTTTAGGTAAGATCCCTGAGTGAGTCATACATATTAAGTTTGGGACTATACTGAGAAAGATTTACCAACTTTCTATGGTGAAGAGGGCTTGAATGAAGCGATAGCAGTAGGAATGGAGAAATAATCTGAAGTAATTCGATAAATTATGTAGCTGATGCTTTTGTCATGCCAATTAACAACCACCTAGTATTATATTCTTTTGTTACATTGTTTGCATTTTGTATTCATATCTGTCTTGCATATTATCTTAAATATTTTAAATATTTCTGAGCAGTTTTCTACCTGTTGCCCTGCAAGATTTCTCATACTATATGATTTCTTAATAGGGCCTTAATGGCTTCTCACTAAGAATTTACATCATTTCTCAGTATTTAATATGAAAATACTGTCTTGGCCCACTGTTAATGGATAAGAAAGGGTTGAGATTAAGTACCTTTTGAAAATATTGGGTTAAAGTTACTTTTTAAAATGTAGATATATTAAGTGGGGACAATTGCAGAACTCAGTTTTTTAAAAAAAATTATTCTGTGTCTTATGAATATCATTTCTAAACATTTTATGGAGCAACATTTAGAACTAGCATTCTTTTGCACACACTTTAGGATAACAGTCCTGCCGGGGTTCTTGTTCCAGCATCAAGAATGGTTCAGCAATCTGGAGAAGGGGCTGTGCATAACTTAAAGAGTCCAGAGACGAAATATAATTTTGAAAGGCATTGGGGGTCAGAGGAGCCTAGCTAAAGAAACTAAGATCTCCTCATCTCAGGACCCCATGCTTTTTATTAACACAAATTGTCCTGAGGCGAGGCAGAGATATACACTTCAAAGGGTAGGGTTTCATATACAGAGGCATTGTCAGAATGGGGGAATTAGCCTACGGCTGTTCAAGTGTTTGGCCAGTAGGAGGCAATAAAATGTAGATTAAGATGCCCTGAGCTGTCTGGCAGAAAGCAATCCTCCCTTTTCAGGTTTGGGGAAATGCCTTTAGCCATTCCCAATAGGCGATAACATATGTGACTCAGCCCTTGTTGAGTCCCCAAATTCCATCAATCTTTTGATGAAACTCTTGCAATTATGACATGCTAGAATTGGCTTCTGGCACAGTCCCTTGTGGAATATAAATCTTGAAAATTTTCTTTTGCTTCTCCTTTCTTAGGTTATATCTAGAATTTTAGTCCTTCTCCAACTCTATTTCTATCAATACTTAGTTTAATCACTTTCTTAAAACTTAGCACTTATAGAAGAGATTAAATTTGTATGGAAACTTACAAAGAGACACTAAGAGTGATCAAGTTGTGGCTCATTTCTGTATATTGCTGTTAATGACCATAATACATGCGGGGCAATGAAACTTAAATGGGAACTGAAACTTGAAATGTTTTCACTTGGTGGACTTTTGGAAATTGACTAAACATCACCTTTCACCAGACGTAATGGTTTGCTTTATATTATTGAAACAGAGGAGCATTTATGAACTCCACAATATTTAACCCCTAGTATTTTCCATGTTCATTTGTGATTAAAACCAAAGTTCAAACTAATATATCTTAAATGGAAACCATCATTAATGTATAAAAATTATTTAAAGAAATCTGATTTATTTGTGTATAGTACTTATTAGGTAAGCTTTATCGTTGGGTTGTATATGACATACAACCTGCTTGTTTAATTTAAACAGTTTAAGAGAGATTTTCAGCCATTAATTGTCTTTCAAAATAAAGCATCTATAAGCTTAAGATTCTTGCCCTGCTGGTGTGGTTCAGTTAGTTGGAGCATCCTCAGGCCCATCAAAAGATTGTGGGTTGATTCCTGGTTAGGACACATACCAGGTTATGAGTTGGATCTCTGGTTGGGGCACGTGTGAAAGGCAACTGATCGATATTTCTCTCTCACATCTATGTTTCTCCTCCCTATTTCTCTAAAATCAACATTTTTTTAAAAGATTCTTATACTGGTACTTGCAAGAAAATTGTAAAGGGGGATAGTTTTGTTGCCATTGTAATTAGTTATTACTATTAATAATAGGAAGCAAAAGGAGGCCAGTTATTATAAGCATGGTCATCTGGACATCTTCACTAGGAAGCTGCAATTTCACTCTCTCCAGGGAACCAAGGGTCCATTCCCTGCAAATCAATAGGGGAAGGGACTGGACAAAGGGGAAGATGGGTGCATACAAAGTAAAGTTGGACTGATGCAGGGAAAATGCGTGTCTGTCAGTCTAACCTGGGAGCAAAGGTCATTGGCTAGAGGGGTGGGGCCCATGAAAATTTGGGAATACATAATCCCTAGACAAAGGAATTCTCTCTCTCTCTTGTTCATCTGGCTTTGCTCCTGCTTCCATGCTCTCACCTATGTACCCTTCATAGTCATGTGGCCCTAGAGGATGTATGGCCCATGGCCATGTGGACCCCACATGCAATGACCGCATCTGGGAACATAAGTTAACCTAGCCAGATTCTGGACTGGACTGTGTTAAGACTATAGGGCAGTACGATCCTTAATCGCCATTTGTAGCTTCCCACCACAGGAGAACAAAGACCAGAAATCAGACCATATAAAGAATTAAACTGTCCTAAAGACACCTGATTGCACACCTGCATTCCATCCACACCAAGCTCACCGACTCAGCCTCCCACCAATTACTGCATATAAGGATGAAACTCCAGCTCCTGTCGTCAACCCAGTGTTCCCTTGGCTCTGTGCTGTTCAGCCCTTCCCTTTGGGCATCCTATCCCCCATCCCCTTTTCCTTAAATTCAATTTTTCTTAAATCACTGTCTGAGATGGCTATATAGCCTGCCTATGCACCACCATGTTAAACCTTTCATACCGTGCAAATATGGGATGGAAACTGGGCAATGGCTTTAATCCTAGCTCTGCTAAAGACGAAATGGGACTTTTTCCTTGGCAGGACAGAGAGACATGGGATCTTGGAAACTCAGAGATTTAATTCCATGTATATATCACTCATTCTCTCATGCAAGTCTCAAAAAATTCCTTTTCTCGTTACATTGCAAGAAGCCCACTTCCACCACCAACAGGCGGGGACACAGAGCTTCATCACTTTTTACATTTTTTAAAAATTTATTGATTTTATAAATCAAATCAGAGAGGAAGAGAGAGAGAGAAACATTAATTTGTTGTTCCACTTATTTACACATTTGATTGCTTCTTGTATGTGCTCTGACTGGAGATCAAGCCCACAACCTTGGTGTATCAGGACAACACTAACCAACTGAGCTACCTGGCCAGGGCCTAAGCTTTTCTATTTATAGAAATGTATTTCTTTTAGAGAAAGCCTATACACACACACATACACACACATTACCTGGGAAATAACATGTGCATGTGTACATATGTGTATGTACTAGTGTATATATATGTACACTCATGCTCACATACATTCATACTTTGAATAGGCAAATAACTTTAGTCCCAATTTTCTGTATATTATTTAAATCCCTGACTGAGGACGTGAGGTTTTGGCTCTGGGTGATCCTTCTCCATCTGCTGTGTAGTGGCTGCTGGCCTCGCGGGAACAGTGGCCATGGACAGCTGGGTTGCTTTGCTCTCCTTCCAGCCGGAGAGGGATGTGGTGGGTCCTCCAGGGTGAAATTCCGGATTTCCCTGGGTCTTCCGGTAGGAGCCGTGATCAACTGTGCTGACAACACAGGAGCCAAAAATCTGTATATTATTTCTGTGAAGGGGATCATGGGACGACTGAACAGACTTCCTGCTGCCGGTGTGGGTGGCATGGTGATGGCCACAGTCAAAAAAGGCAAACCAGAGCTCAGAAAGGAGGTACATCCAGTGGTGGTAATTCGACAACGAAAGTCATACCTGAGAAAAGATGGCGTGTTTCTTTATTTTGAAGATAATTCGGGGGTCATAGTAAACAATAAAGAGGAAATGAAAAGTTCTGCCATCACAGGACCAGTTGCAAAGAAGTGTGCAGATTTGTGGCTCAGGATTGCATCCATTGGTGGCAGCATTGCATGATTCTCTGGTGTATTTGTAAAGGAAAAACCAATTAAAAATTGGTGATATGAAAAAATAAAATATAAATATTTCTCTCTTTTCCACGACCAGCACAGCTAGAGAGCGGACAGGAGTCCTGAGTAGGGGCAACGGGGGATTGAGAAAATGAAAGAGACAGACACAAAGACAGTAGGGAAAGCTGGGACCAGGTGGGACAGCTGTCCTCTGATGGAGAGACAGGGACCCAGAGCCGATACAGCATATTTATTTTATACAATAAGATACCAGGAAGTTTTACTAAAGTTTAAGATAAAGAAAATATGTGCATCCTTGTGGCTTCTTTGTAATAGTCACTTCTGGGTGGGCCCGGATAATTGTGTTTGTTCCTGGTGCCTGGCTGGATTTAGATAATGAAATCCACCCCCTGGCACCTGAGCTAAAGGTCAGACTGACAACTCACCTGCCTCTGGCAAGGTATGTTTCCAGGGCATGGCTCTGCCAGGCGCCACTGGATTCAGACGACAATCAGCTCAGGGGCCTTTCCCAGGTGCTCTCTACAATAAAAAATAAAAAATAAAAAAATCCCTGACTGAAGTTAAAGTAAAATCACTTTGAAAACTGTGTCATCATTTTAAATGGTTTTTAGAGCTAACTTAGAAGGCTTTGCACATACATATAGCTTAATAGTTAATTTTTTTTAAATTTTAAAACTTTATGCTTCAAAAGACAATACATCAAGAAGATGAAAGATCCTCTGAATGAAATAAAACACTTGAAAATAATATATGTGATAAGGGTCAAGTATCTAGAACAGCGATTTTCAACCTTTTTCATCTCGTGGCACACATAAGCTAATTACTAAAATTATGCAGCACAATCGTTAATGTTTTTTGCTTATAAAAGCCTGCTGTAAAATCTTAAAACGAAGTCCCTTGTGCTCTCAACAAAATTACAGTACAACTAAAAACCAGGTGTAGCATATGCTGAATTTTTCAGATCGCAGAAATAGAGTTTTATCATTTACTTTGCTTCTTTTGATTTCAAATTTTTGACCTCTTAAGTGCATAAAATATTGTGGTGTTGAAGGTTCCATGTCATGAAGGGCATTTATTTTTTTGGTGTCAATGATATCAGTGGATCAGACAAGTACACTAGGCCTTAGTTTACGGTTATGTTTTTACTTGTTTTGTTTTTCAATAAAAGTTACTCTAAATCTTTCTCTTGACTTCTTTGTTTAGGATGGTGATCCTGAACCTGTTTATTGCTTCCACCTAATTGATAGGGGAGAGTCCCAAGTTTGACATTTCCACACTCCACACCTAGATATTCTGTGGGAGGTTTTGTAGACAATAACAGCTATATATATTATGAGCATTTTCTTATATTCTAATTGATAAGGTGGTTGGTAATCTTTGGTTTAGAGGCATTACATTTACATAACCTCTACTGAAAGCTATTTTGCAAAATGGATTACTTAAAATAATTTAAAATGCTTAGAAATATATAAAAAACATTTTAATCTATAAGACAGATATGTGTATAAATTGAATAACTTAAAATAAAAATCCACGTGATCAAGAACAAATCCCAAATGATATGGATGGCACATTTGATTGTGTCCTTTATAAGTATGCTAGAGGCTCGGTGCATGAATTTGTGCATGGGTGGGGTTCCTCAGCCTGGCCGGCAATGGGGGCCGATAGGGGCCATCTTGCCCAGTCCCCATCAGGGCTAATTGGGGCCTGCCAGCTGAGGGGAGGAACCACAGGAGGTTGGCCAGTTGTGGGAGGTTGGCTGTGGGAGTGCACTGATCACCAGGGAGCAGCTCCTGTGTTGAGCGTCTGCCCCCTGATGGTCAGTGTGCGTCATAGTGGCCAATCAACCGGTCGTTCAGATGACTGTTCGTAATGGTTGCTTAGGCTTTTATATATATAGATAAACGAAATTGGTATTCAAGTTATGTTCAATATTGTATCCTTTAAGAGCTTAAAGGATAAGATCTCTGTGTCCTACACATGTTCTGGAGGATAAGATGAAAATAAATTGCTTGAGGCTTTATTTGTATCCTAAACATGAAAGACAAAGTACATGCATGCAAAGGTTGTAAATTAGACTATTCTTAAAGAATGTTGTAAAACCTGTCTGATGGAAAGTTGCCTATTGAGAATTTAACTACCAGTGGTACACAATGACAAAAGACTACATTTGAATTTTCCTTTAGGGCTAAGTGTTAGTTACTTTTCTTTATTATTCTGCCCTGAATACTAAATATTTGAATCCAGAAGTTCCTCCTTTCCACCACCAGCATAGAAGTATGCACATTTGATAACAGTGTAGAGTTAATGCTGATGTTACATTATTCATATTTTTTTGCCATTGAGACCAAAGCATGATATTTCCTAGTCTGCTCATAATTTTAAAAATGCGTTCTTTTGATAAATTGAGGTGTTTTATAAGAAAACTGCAAATGGCCTAAATATTTCTTCAATTTAATATGATAAAAATAACTGCACTTATGGCCATATTCTGGTATCTCTATATATAAAAGTCTAGCAACCATTATGGCAGAATGACCAGAAAGACCAGGCCACCATTTGCTATGATGTGCACTGACCACCAGGGGGCAGACGCTCAATGCAGGAGCTGCCCCCTGGTGGTCAGTGTGCTCCCACAGGGGAGCGCCGCTCAACTAGAAGCTGGAATCATGGCTGGTGATCCACGGCAGCACTACCAAGTGGCGGCAGAAGGCGCATAGGCCAGAATGAGCATGAGCTGCATGGCGCCCAGCCCCGGTTTGGGCTCTTCCCTGGCTGCCTGCCACTTGGCACACTGCTACATCCCCTTGGGGGATGTCCAACTGCCGGTTTAGGCCTGATCCCCACAATCGGGCCTAAACTGGTAGTCGGACATCCCCCAAGCGGTCACAGATTGCGAGAGGGCGCAGGCCAGGCTGAGGCTCAACACAGGAGGAGGGGGCGGGGGACGCAGTGAGGCCTGGATGCGCACGCTATGGCCCAGGGATCCCAGGAACTGCAAGCCCAGAGCTTGCTTTCCAATAAAAAGTAATTTAAAAAAGCGGCCGGATGCCGCTGCTCTGGGAAGAGTGGCTCCAGGAGGGAAAAGCCTCCCCAGCTCCACCCAGCCCGGCTGGCACACTGTGAAGAACCACGCACCGACCATGGTAGCGCCCCCCACCTCACTGCCCCTTGGTCCTGAGGCTCATGGTGACTCCAAAGCCAGTCGTGCCAACAGCAGTTCCCCACCCCTCTCCATGGCTGACGCAGTGCTGCTGGGCCAGGCCATGTCAGCTCTGGCTTCCGGCTTCCAGCTTCCAGCTTCCAGCTTCCGCCCACCCCTTTGTATACTATGTGCGCTCGGGGTCATGGCTTCGGCCTTTCCGGCCAATAGCACCACAGCACAGCCAGAGAGTGGCAGGACACAGCCACCAGGGCTGGCTGGGCATTGATTTGGCCACGTGACTGACATCCATGTCCAGTTACACTGTTTACATTTGTAGGGAAGTAGGGCTCGCTCCTGCCCCCGCCTCACCTTCTAGGCTAAGAAAGGCCTGCTGATCTCCGTGTTTCTCCTCCCGTCCGGGATCAAAACCTCTTGGGGATGAATAATCCCAGCGATGGCCCCAACACATGCTCGGTATCACTGTCACAGACATTCTCAGTCATTACAGCCCGTTCCTCAGCCCACAGTGCCCTGCTCCACCCACTGCCACTCCTCACCTGTCACCCCCTGAGGACCACCTTACGTTATCCTATTTGAAATGTGAGCAAGATCTCAAATGCCACCCCCTGTCTTTTCTTTCCCCCAATAGCTCCCTTGTCCTATCTTTCTTCCTCTAAAAACCTTGCATTTTAAAAATATATATTTGATTGATTTTGGAAGGCAGCTATGCTTACCACTATACCACCAACGCCGCACTATTTGATTGATTTTGAAGAGGGCTATAGAGATAGAAACATCAATGATGATAGAGAATCATTGATCAGCTACTTCCTGCACATTCCAAACTGGGGATTGAAACCTCCCATGGCCCCTCCCCCTGGCCGGCAGGCCCTGATTAGTGGTGAGGGAAGGAGGCGGGTAAGTGGGGAGGCAGGGAACCTGATTGGCCCTGATCGCCTGCCTGGCCTAGAGACCCAACCCATGCACAAATTTCGTGCACTGGGCCTCTAGTAGCTTAATAATCAGGTACATATGAAGTATTCAGGACAAGTACTTATTTTATTTTAAGAACTGTAGAAAATATGGCTTAGGGGCAAAATAAATAAAGGAAGAATGTTTACAGCCAACTGTTCACCTGTTTTACCTTGCTCTTTTCCAGTTTCAGAAGACAAGACCTTATATCTCAATTGCTATGAATATTCCAGTGAAATTTATCTTTATTGTTGAGAGTATTACAAATGTCCCCCTACTTTCCCCCATAGCCCCTCTCCACCTGGCTCCCACTCCACCCCAAGATCTTTTAGTTTTTAGGGCTAGTAGCCATCTATGGTTCCCTTACTGTGCGTGGAATGCCTAGAGAAAGTGATATCTATAGCTAAATTTATAAAACATATGTCAATGTAAGAAATGTTCAAACCTGTAGAGAATTTTTATGAGTTTATTTGAGCCAAATTGATGAAAATTGTTGGGAAACAAAATCTCAATGGATTGAGAAAATGCTCTGAAAAATGGCAGTTTTTACCACTTATTTTATACATTACAATCAAAAAGGAAGACGTAAGGGAGTTACAAGAAATTCATTGGTGATAGATTAGGGAAGCAGAAGAAAGCAAAGGGATGCCGAAACCGGTTTGGCTCAGTGGATAGAGCATCGGCCTGCGGACTGAAAGGTCCCAGGTTCGATTCCGGTCAAGGGCATGTACCTGGGTTGCAGGCACATCTCCAGTGGGAGATATGCAGGAGGCAGCTGGTCGATGTTTCTCTCTCATCGATGTTTCTAACTCTCTATCTCTCTCCCTTCCTCTCTGTAAAAAATCAATAAAATATATTTAAAAAAAAAAAAAAAGAAAGCAAAGGGAGGGGGTGGA